AGCATTACGCATGAATTTAAGGGAATAATAAGATCATAAATTAACCATTTAACATTTTTTGTACCACAGAAATATTTAAATATATTTATACATATATACTTTGAGCTCTCCAAAGGTAAAAACTATCAACCTTCAAAGAAAAATCTTTAAAAATCTTTAATAAATAAGGGCTAACCGATAGAAAACGTTAAAAAAGCTTAAACTATTTATAGAAAAAGATTTAAAGTCAGAGTTTTTTTTAGTAGAAATCTTTCTTATGTAGACAGAGGAGTACAGCTGCAAAACGCGTGACATTTTGTTATGGGTATACCCTCTGAGATAGTTCTACCCCAAAAACATGTCTAAAATATACCAATATTTTGAGTCATATCTGTATGAACAATCCCCCTGTTTTGGCTTTCACTTCTCCCAGTCTTATCGGTGGTGCTCTCTCTCAAGTGCAGCGAATCAATCAAACTCGAAGCCAACGTTTGCCAACAAGCCTGATGAATGTGCGGAGAGGCCAGGCCCTCTCATGTCTAATGATGAGAAAACAATAAGAAAAAGTATCTTGAAGGTATCATTGGAGCATTGGCACTTGCTTGCGTTTATCATTTACATGAAAATTGTGCTACACACAACGATTTTGAAGTGTCTCCTCCTCGTTGGGGTAATGTCAATATCATCATTCAACTTGAAAAGGCACAAAAACTTTGAATTGATTTCGAATATCGAATTCCATCGAACTGTGCCGGATTTCAGACAGACTCCGTGGATTGACAGACAGACAGACACGACATCAGGCCACAGCAGAGTAAATCCGCGCGCAAACAACAATCGAATGCATTCGCACTCGAGATATGGAGATTCAAGATTGGTGATCGAGTTGTGGAAGATATGTTCGGATCTGTTCAGGCCCTCTCAGTCGATGCCATCAATGTCATTATCAATATCAACAACATGATTGGACACAAAAACCGCCAGAAACGCAGCGAAGCGAAGCTCTCGATCTCGAATATGGATCTCTCTCTCTCTCTCTCTCTACGATCGATGATGATCGTGTAAACACAGACGCACTAACTGCACTCAATCAAAAATTTGATTATTTTGATATGAACGATGCTTCAGAGGCACCACTGCTGCATGCTGCATGCTGCATGCTGCACTCCCCCATTGATAAACACACAGACACGCACCAGCAGAACGTAGAGCCAAAGTACTTTAGGGCCTATAACAACAAAATGGGCCTAGAAGCACACAGCAAACATTGCAGCTGCCTCTGCCTCTGCCACAGCCTCAGTCCCGTGTTCCATCTGCATCTCAATCTTTTGCTTGTCAGCGTATCCCATATCCATGATATTCGTGGAAATTCCACTTGAACGCGCTCAATTGTAAGAGAATACGAATTTAATTGCAGAACACAAACAACGTAACGCATCGGGAGAGCCCAGACCCAGAGAACGGGGCAAGACAAATACTCAAAGATTATGTGGTAAAGTGTGTTAGATCATTGCTGTGGTTATAGGTCGTTTCGGGCAGTGGATTGTAGACGTTATAAGGTGAAAATTGGAAGAAAGCGCAACAGGTAATGGAAATCTGGGGTATAAACAGAAATGTTTCCTCAAAAAGAGTTCTTTTGGATAGAAAAAGTTAATTAGAGCTGATTTTAGATCATTAAAAATACAAGAACTCCCCTTATCATCTTACTCGTGTCGTGCGTCATGCAGCAGCGCCCCTCCGTTGGTTAAGCAGGTGGGGAGGGAGGACTTAGGGGAGAGAAAAAGAGTTATTTTGGATCGAAAAAGACGATTAAAGTCGATTATGGGAGCATTTTCTTTAATACATTGTTCTATAACTTTCTTTATTGCTGATCTCATGCGTCATGCAGCAGTGCCCATCGGTTGGTGGAGTAGAAAATGATTAGAGCTGATAGTAGGACGTTTTATGGCATGTATGTAAGAGAAACAACTAGAATTCCATTATTTTGCGATCCTTCTGTCACGCGTTATGCAGAAGCGCCCCTCGGACAGGTGTGCGGAAGGTTGTAGAGGACTAAGGGCCCCTTAAGCCCAATAGAATCTAAAAAAAAGGTAGATTTTCCCATAGAAAACGTACACTCTACAGGTTCACATCTTTTAATGATTTAAGAGTCATATCTGGACCAATTCTTTGTCACCTTTTCAGCCAAAAAACTAACATTTCACTCTCCCGAGATCTCTAGAGAGTGTTGGAAAAAGCTCATTAACCTTTATTTGTGTGTACTCCAAACAATTCGTGCACTCCAATTTGGAAGAAAAGAAACCAATGAATATTATAAATAAATAAAATAAAAGAGACCAGACCAGACCCCGAGCAAAACCCTCTCAAGAGTTTTCGGGTGGTGGGAGGGGGAGATCAACAATGTATCTTTCGATCCCCGTCGCCTGTCGATGATCTGTCATATATGTGCGCCATTGTGTGATGGAGTTTTGAACTCGTTTTTTTTTCATAGAGCCACTCATGGTATATTCGAGTCCAGAGTCTTGGGTTTCTTGACATGTTTGATTTGTGGCTTTGATTGATTGATTGCTGTGCGACTTCAAGTAATGATTTTACGATTTTGCAGCAGCAGAGAAACAGAGAATTTCTTGGATTGGTTCCCACAAATAATGACATGGCGAAAACAACGAGGGCCTTGATTGACAACTCTGATTGAAGGAGTAAGAGGTGTGTGTGTGTGCGTGTGTGTGCGTGACTGTAAGTTAACCCAAATATATTTTATTTTATTTTATTTTATTTGTGGATTCAAAGACTAATCAACAATGCATCGATATGGAAAATGGTAGAGTCAGGGCTTTCTGTTTCTGTTCCTGTGAAATGCCATCACCATCCGATATCTGTTTTTAAAAATAAGCCACGCAAAAGTCCACGCCAGTCGCTGTCTGGGCGCTATATCTTTAGCATCAGCGGCCATAAATAAACCCCAAAGAAGACAGTAGAATGTTTCCAGACACAAGAAGGGCCTCCTCCTCGTCTTCTCGGAGTGGTTCGATTCGGTCGCTCCTTGACATACGAGTAAGTAAAGTAGGCACAAAAGACCCAAACAGTCGAAGGAGCCACCAATCAATGGCTGGCCATTCGATTGGAGGGCAAATTATTATATACCAAACTTGTATTTTCTTTTAAAATGAATAGAAAATCTTTGAAAACTCCCCAAAACTCTTAGCAGAAGCTTCCCTTAAAATCCTGCCTGGAAGAGCCTTGCGTGTATGTCTTTTACTCACCATATCAGTCAAGAGGGATCTCTACCGTCGAACAAGGCCGAAAGTGAGAAGCAAAGAGAGAAAGAGATTTTAATTACATCTCTACGACCGATGCCCGATGTCTGGGGCTGTGGCTGTGCCTGAGGCTGAGGCTGTGGCTTTGGCTGTGGCTCTGGCTGTTGCTGTGGCAATTATTTACATTAACACGATCACAACTCAGAGACACTGCACATGCATCATCGTGTTGCGATGTCGATCGAGATCTCTCTCGAGGAGAGGAGGCAGGCACCAGCCCAGAGACAGAAACCCAGACAACAGTCGTCGTCGTCGTCGTCGTTTGCTGTCGCTGTCGTCGATGTCTGCTGTGGTGCCCTGCCATGTATGCATATTAATTTATTGGAATCATGTTAGTGAGTCGATATTGATACAAATCCATTTTCGATCGCGTTGCCTCGATACCAAAAGCCCCCGAGAACGATCTGCCCCAGACAGCCCCGCGAAGGAGGCTGTGGGGCAGATCGGGGGGGGGCACACATGCTGGGACCCTGCCTGCAGTTGGCAGCAAACATTACACAACAGAAGATCAGCAGCCAGAAGCCAGCTACCAAAAGTGCTCTGTGTGTCTGCTGCTGTGGGCAGTGGCTGCAGGTCCACAGGTATGCCTTGCAGCCAGCTTCTGTCTCTCGGATCCAAAGGTCTCTGTCTCTCTCTCTCTCTCTCTCTCTGTCTCTGTCCCCCCGCACATTGCATGATCATCGACCGTATTGAGCGTTAATCGTTCGACTATCATGCGATTATATGGGGTTCGAAGGGTGGGGAGCGGGGTTTGGGTTTACTAAGGAGCTATAGCCATCTCTCCGCCATGACAGCTTCTTCGATGCTTAGTTACCTTTTTTTTTCTTCCTTCTAATTAAATTTCAATTGATTAAGCATTTGATTTACGGCTACAAGTGAGGCCCCTCGAAGAGGTAGGCTTTTGAGTTATTCTGGGGAAAATATGCTAACGAAATATGCCAGAAGACCTGGAAGATATAGTTTCTAAATGGTCAAGGTCCAAGGATTGTGTTGATTTGAGTTGGAATAGATAGGATCTGAATGATTCATGTTAAATAAGCATCAGTGAGACCCTGAAAGCGGCAATTTTTTGGCCGAGCACCGTAGGGAAAGTCTCTGTAAGTCACTTTGAAGATCTAGAAGAGGTAGTTTTTGAAAGATCAAAGAAGAAAGAGGCTTTCTTAAAGCCAGTCGTAGCGAAATCTTACTGAATAAACATGTGCTTCAACAAAACCCTCTTGATAATGGATTAATGATAGTTTCTGAAGGACTTCGACTGAAGAAGTATCTCTGAAAGACCAAAACAGGCAGTTTTTGGGCGATGGACAAAGGAATAAACTCTATAACTATACAGAAGAGGTGTTTTTAAAATAAACAACGTAGGACTCAACGAGTCTCTTTTTTGAAATATCTACATATGTAGTTTTGAGAAGTCTGTCTGAATACAAAAAATATGTAATGAAATATATAAGTACAAGAAGGGTTTCTGAAGACCCTTTACTCAGGAACATGACCTATATAGATATGGAAACACTCTTTGATCAAAGCGGGATAATATTGGTTAGTGATCGATGTATTTTCTGGCTGATCAACGTATGAAATCTCTTCCTATAGAGATATTCAGCGGTCTAGGTAGGTAAAGACTTTGTTCACTCTTTTCAATTAAGATTTACCTTCATGGGGATATTTCGGTTTGATTAGTCGTAAAAAACCACAGCTGTTGAATATGTTCTTCATAACTATTTAATTGGTAACAATAATTTTAATTTTATTTGTATTTTCTGTACGTGTTCTGTTCATGTTCTGTGTGTGTGTGTGTGTTTCTGAGAACTTCTGCTGCTGTATTTGTGTAGGGTTTGTGTGTGTGTTTCTGCTTAAAGATTAACAGAATCCATATTTAAGCTCTTGAAGTAAAAGGCCAGTATGTCTGTGGCCTCTTTGATGCGCATTGTTGTGGGCTTGCCAGCGCCATGTCCCGCCTTGGTGTAGACACGCAAAAGTATGGGATTGTTCTGGATTTCCGATTGACGTACAGCCTCCTGGAGGGCAGCCGCAAACTTCAGCGAATGCAAGGGACTCACACGATCGTCGTGATCGGCAGTCAGGATCAGAGTAGAGGGATACTCCTGCGATTTATCCAGAGGGGTGTGCACATTGTGTAAGGGGGAGTAGCTGAAGAGATTCACAAAGTGCGACTCCTCATCGGGATTGCCGTAGTCGGAGCACCAGGAATGGCCGATGGTGAATTTGTGGAAGCGCAGCATATCCATGACGCCCACTTGGGCGACAGCAGCACCAAACAGATCGGGACGCTGATTGATGCATGCCCCAACGAGGAGACCACCATTCGAGGCACCCTGGATGGCCAGACGATCCTTGGAAGTGTACTTGTTGCAGGTCAAGTACTCGGCTGCCGACTGGAAGTCATCGAAGACGTTCTGTTTGTTGAGCAGCCGGCCAGCGTTGTGCCACTTGATGCCGTATTCGCCGCCGCCGCGTAGATTCGGATAGGCCACAACCCCGTCGAAGGCGTCCATGAAGGTGAGGGCTGTGATGCCAAAGGAAGGCATCAGACTGTGATTGAATCCCCCATAGCCGTACAGAAGACAAGGACGCGGCTCAATGGTGTCGCGTTTCTTGCGGACGATAAACATGGGTATATCGGTGTCATCCTTGCTCTTGTAGAACACCTGCTCAACGGCATACGAATCGCGCGAGAATCCCTCCAGATTCAGTTTGATTTCACGAATAACCTCCGGCTTTTCCTCGGGCGTTGCAAAGTCATATCGATAGATGAGACCGGGCGTGAGAAATGATGTGAAACTATAGAAGATCTCGGAGTATTTCTTTTCCCCCGAGATGCCAGCCAGCGTACCAATATCTAGATCAAAGTGTTGCACCATCTTGCCCGTTTCCATTTCGTAGGCTTGCAGCACGCTCTTCACATCGCGTATGTAGCAAACCACGAACTTATTACGATGGGCGCACAGAGCCCACTCCATGACATCTTTCGAGTGCTCGGGGACCACAGTTTTCCAGTTCTTTTCATCGGGATTTTCGAGATCAATCATCACCAAACGATAGTTGGGGGCATCCTTATTGGTTCTGAAGTACATCTTGGATCCTTCGCTTGCCACATAATCGTAGTCGGCCTCGAATTTATCCACAATCGGATGGACCTCCAACGGGCCAGAGATTTCCTCTCCCGGCTTGATGTGCGCATAGTAGAGCGTATTGTCGCGGACTGTATAGCTGACGAATAGAATCAGATACTTGCCGCAATCGGAGACCTCGCTGATGGTGCGCCACGACGGTTGTTCGGGGAACTCCACCACCATTGTATCCTTGTCCTGGGACTCTCCCACGCGATGGTAGTATAGCTTTTGATGCTCGTTCTGCTTCGTCTCGGAGCCATCGGTCTTTCCATCCTGGCATGGGTAGCGGCCATAGAAGAAACCCTTGTTGTCCAATGTCCAGGCAATCGTCGAGAACTTGACCTTCTCGAGCACGTCTTCAAAGTCCGTGCAGTCCTTGGCCCTGCGTATGAGTATCTTCTCCCAATCGGAACCGCTTTCGCTGAGGCCATAGGCCATATAGGAACCATCATCGGAGAACGTGGCCTGGCTCATGGCGGTGGTGCCATCGGCTGACAGTTGATTCGGGTCAATGAACACTCTACCCTCCTCCTTCAGGGAATCTTGCTGCATCAGGACATGTTGATTCTGCAGGCCCGTGTTCTTGTAGTAATAATAATAGCTGCCATTCTTCATGGGGGCACCATATTTCGGATAGTTCCATAGCTTCGTGAGCTTCGTATTGATCTTCTTCCACTCGTCGCACTTCTCCAGAAACGGCTGACTGATGGCGTTCTGGGCATCGATGAACTTGTGCGTCTCCTGTGCCTCGGGATCCTCCAGCCAACGGTAGACATCCTTCACGCTTGTACCGTACATGGTTTCAGTCACGGATTCATCCTTTCGGGCCACGGGATATGTCATCTTCAGCTTCGCTTCCTCCGCCCCCGGAGAAGCATTGATGGTCGTGGGAATATTGACCGACACTCGCGACTGCGACATAATTGAAATTATTTGTTGAGCTCGCAATTTTCCCAAAAGTAAATTATTTTTTCTAACAATTTTTGAATTATTTTTGTGTAAAACAGAACGAAAAAAATATTTGTACATTTATTTTTGTACGAGAAGCAAAAATTTTATTTTTTTTTTCAGGTACGACGCTGCCGGGGCTTCAAGGCAAACTGAATATTTTATTACACTTTGTACATAAGATATTTGATATTTGTACACAAGAGTTCTACGTTTTTGGTTTTTCGAGGGTCAAGAAATATACAAATACAATGTGTCTCTGTAGCTTTGATTTTCTTGGGAAATGTATTTTATGAGCCTGTTTTCTTTTTGGTTTTCACTTTTATGCCACATTTGCTGTCATTTTTGGAACACAAAAACATTCGTCATCCCTCATTTTAGTGAGGACTAACTTTCATTTTAGGTTTTATTTTCTCTCTGGCGAGTTTAATCAGCGACATGTCGCACTAATTGCAGCAATTAATTGTCCGCAAAACGACGTGATGAGTAAAAGTTTCAGAGCCGTCAATTGATGGAAAGAGTGGGAGGTAGTGATGCCAATGAATGGAAAGAGAGAGGGGTAGTGCTGCCAATGAATGGAAAGGGAGAGGAAGGTAGTGCTTCCAATCGATAGAAGGCAATAGATAGGCAGCTAGTGCTGCCAATCGATGGAAAGATTTAAAGTTAGTGCTGCCAATCGATGGAAAGAGTGGGAAGCAGTACTGCCAATGAATGAAAATTGTTTTAGGTAGTGAAATTGCTGAAAGAGAGGGAAATGTTCTGCGCTAGTGCTGCCAATCGATGGAAAGAGTGAGAAGCAATGCTGCCAATGAATCGAAAGAGAGGGAGGAAGTGCTGCCAATGCATGGCAAGAGTGGGAAGCAGTGCTGCCAATTGCTAAAGGAGAGACAAGGAGATTGTGCTGCCAATTGCTAAAGGAGAGACAAGGAGATTGTGCTGCCAATCGATGGACGGATTGAAATCGATAGAAAGAGTGGGAGGCAGTGCTGCCAATAGATCGAAAGACTGGAGGAAATGTTGCCAATTGATGGAACTACTGGGAGGTAGTGCTGCCTATCAATGGCAATGCCACGACTGGGCGGTAGAGCCTCTATTTGATGGAAAGTCTCCTCGAAAGACAATGTTCTATTGAAGGTCTACATTAAATTATTGAAATTCCACGTCTTATGTGTCGAATGTCTGACCAAAAAGGGAGGAGGCCACAACCACACGACACATTGACATCCTCAGGGGTACTGCGGCTGTTTAGCTGTTGTTGTTGCTGCTGCTGGTTGACTGGCTGTAAGCCTAAGCATGCTGAGCATGTCAACAAGCTGGAAGACCTCGCTAGAAGAAGAAGCCAGAGAACCCCGAAGAGAACCCGTAGAACTCAGAGCAGGAGAGCGGCAGAAAGAGAGGTAACAAGTCAAACGCGCTGACAGCCAACATGAACGCAACAGCAGCAGAGAACAGCCATAACAAGAAGGGAAATATAGAGGCTTTTGAGGCGAACATCCAGATACCCTCGGAGAATGATTGTGTCTACAAGAAATGCATTGAAACTACAGACTTTTTAAGGCCACTACGATCGTAGATCAACCTCCTTTGGCAGAGTATAACAAGGGCCACGGCTCGGGCATCGATTGCTGACTGGACTGCTGCTGGTCTGCTGCTCTGCTGCTGAACCCAATGATCGTCATTGGGGATTGTATCTCGATCGAGATTCTCAACTTTTTGGGCTCATCTTCATCTCCGCGCTCTGATCAGAGAGAGAGAGAGAGAGAGAGGGGCACGCACTGGGGACGCATGGGGGGACCCGTACGGGTAGAAGCATATATGCAGATGGAAACCGCGTGTGTTTTTGTCGCAAATCGCCAAGATTGCGATCTCATTAAAGCGAATTATTTGTGTTGCTGACTATGTTCTGGCCCGTTGCATCTCTCACTGGTGCTCACTCCTCCTTATTTTCTCTGTGTGTCTCACTGGAGGATCAGGGAGAATCGATGCGACTGCTTCTGCTGCTGCTCCTGCATTCATGATTGTTATCGCCTTGGAACAAAGTTGTTGTCGTTGTTGTTGCTGCTGCTGCTGCTGCGATTTGCCAAACGTTTAAGTTTCCCTTGCCACAATCCAACAAAAAAAACTCTCCTCTACCATTCCCCCCGAGTTAAATGTGCGATTAACGCTCTGCCGTAGGCCATAATTTACGATAGGTTCTAGATTGGTTTTGATGTGAGCCCTAAACTTTGTCACACGATCGCCTGGGCGGGAATCTTTAATTTATTCAGCTTAAAAAATAGTTACAATCATTTTTAACAATATAACAGTAGAATATTTGTGTTACTTTTTTTTAGAATATTTTATGAAGATAATTTTACGTACAATTTTTGTAAAAGACTGCTCTTTTCAGGGATCGTAAATAATATAAGTTTTAAAATAAAAATTGTTGTCTACAAATTATTTAAAAAATTGTTTTAAAAAACAATCAAAAATTATACTTTTTATAATAAATTTTTGATTATTATTTTAAAATTTTTTAAATATTAATTAATACATAATATATTTTATATATATAATTTTTTACCTTCACATTAATTTATTTAGGTTAAATTTTCATTCATAAATCTTTTTCAACTTTTTTCATAATTTCATCATTGATTGATTTAATTTTTGGTTGGTACTTTTAGAGTAAAGGTGGGACTGGCAGAAGGAAAGCTATTTAAACCCTAGAACATTTCACATATATTTTTGATCCATGGCCAGACCCTGAGTATCGTTTATTCTAATATCTAGGCACGTATGCATCCAATAATAAACGTTCCGATTGGTCTTTGTTTAAAACCGATTCATTACAAAGATTTTATTGCTTTAAAGTATAAAAATGGACAACATTTTAAAGATATTTTAATCAAATTTAGTTCTGAAAGCAAATTCGAAATATTACCCAAAATAGAAAGAGTTCCGGCAAGCATTATTAAACACATCAATTAAGAGTCTTAGTTATGATTGATTGATTAATTAATGGTATTTCCTAGAACATCTATCCTTCTATGCGCCGTATATGCCCTGTGAGGGGGCCACTCATTAATATTCCTCTATTTATATTTAAGGCAAATCACAGCCATATATTTATCACTTTCACTCGCTCAGGTTGAAGCTATTTAGAGGCAGCCGCAGAGCTCATCAATCTGCAGCAGGCAGCCCTTCCCCCAAGAGATACGAGACGAGAAGTATCTCTCAGTCGGCCGCAACAGATGAGAATGGTTTCGGACAGAGATGCCTGTCCTATGCCGTACTGTCCCTGGAGTCTAATCAGGCTGTAATTTGAAGGACACGGCAGGCAGCATCAAACTGCTTGAGTTTTGCTCTTGACTTATTGCAGGTGACTCTTTTTTTACGACCCCTTCCTTCACCTTGCCCCTTTTTCGGTGGAGTTTTCTGATCCATTTGGGTGTCCGTTTTTTTGGCTGGACATTTGGCGCAATGAATGGCCAGTGATTTGGCGCTCGGATGTCCAGTCCAAATGAATGAATTAGTTCCTTGGAGACGACCATGAGGTTGGTTGGTGGGCTGTTTCGGCCTGGCTCTCTCTTGATTGATGTTCTGGCATTAAAATTATTTGTATTTTTCGCTTAAAAATACACTTTTTAAATATTTATTTCAAGTGTTGGCCTCCCCGGTGCTGATGGATTTATGCGTTTGCCTCAAACTGTGAGATAAATCGAGTGGAAAACCCAATCGAGAATCGATAGGGAAATGTTTATACGGCTGATAAATGGAGTTTCCATTCAATGCGTAGGAGGTTTGCGCTGCGTTCCCCTGGGACGGGAGTCTTAATGAGGCTGAAAGATTTGGCAATCGAATGACCAAAAGTGGACTTTGGACACGTGGTCATGCGTGGGGATCGGTTCAGTTCGGTTCGTTTTGGTTCCGTTGGGGATCGGTCTTTTGGCTACTAGCTTTTCTATTAATTACACTGATTTATGTGCTCATTGTCCATTGTATTTGGGTTTTGGTTGGCACTCCACTGGCACTGGCACTGGCACTGGCTCTGGCACTGGCACTGGCACTGGGTCCTTCTTGCTTTGACTTTATGATGGTTAACTTTTTTTAATGGTAAAACCTGCAGATAGAGAGCGAGCCAATCGATCGGGGGAGTCCAGTTTTGTGTGGAAAGCGCACAATTTTTGCCATTGTTATAGTTTTTTCGCCTGGAAAGAAAGTTGATTACAATTCTCGATCGATAGATGGTATCGGTATGGCTAGTCGTCTGGTCAATCTATTGTTAACCAATTTAAGAACACATTAGTAACCATTAGAGAGATAGACATTCCTCGGAGACCAACTCAATTTGCATATAAGAAACTCCGCTGAGATGCCAAGCGGATTTGAAACGGATGCAAGATGCACATGTGCACGGCGTACAGATACAGATACATTTACACTGTCTGTAGCTGTCAAAATAAATTTGAGGCATGAAACGAGCACAGAGATCCGTTCCGTTCCGTTCCGTTCCGAAAGAGGCACTGGAAATAAATCAGTTTGTAAACATAAATATTTCCCTTCCTTCGTTTTCTTTTCATTTTTTTTCGCACACTTCGTGCATGGAAAATCTCAGCGAAATTGCCATCGTCATCGCCTCTGACAATAGGCCAGGGCGAAACTGTATTCTATCTCATGGATGGAGAGTGGGGGAGCGAGAGTGATGGCAATTTATGGCTCCAGACAGCCACAGACCAAAATTAACGTTAACGCTTGATAAATAATAATTTTTACGATGCACAATTTATTGCCTCAGATTCGGAGGTTAAAACTATCTGAAATGGAGGCCAAAAAAATGGAGGATTTCAATGGGAGAAAGATCATTTGCATGTGGAGGTACAGAGTATCTAAAATTTTGGTTAGAAACAGACAAAAATGGAGGGATACAACGGCAGAAGAGGGGTTATGGAAAAGATAGCTATTAATGATGGAAAAATATATATTTTTCAATGGGCTTAAGATACTTTTCATTCCCAGAAATCAGCTTGAAAGCTCTAGAACAGCA